TTKGKTWAATTTATTATAAAAAGGATGAAAATGTTCCATCACCATCGACATTGGCTCTCTGAAGGATCTCATTGCAATCAACTTAAGATATATCAGCTGTCAAAGAATCTGGAGAAAATTTGGAAAAATCTCGCACTTTTCTACTTTCAGCTTTTGTTTAAGTAACAATTGAAGTCAACATACAAAACTGTGAGAAGTGGTCACTTAGATCAGAGATGATGTTACCATTTGCTAGCACCTTTTCTGGAGTATTGACAAATATATTATCAATCAACGTTGCTGATGTACTTCTTACTCGTGTCGGTTTGACAACTGTGGGAATGAGATAACAACTTTGAAGAGACGTTAAGAAATCCTGGCTATAATTCGAGCTTTGCGCTTTCAATGGGTCAATGTTAAAGTCACCAAGGATACAGATCTCTTTATCTAAAGCCGTATATTTTTCTATGGATTCATCAAAATACTGCAAAAAGTTTTCAGGAGAGTTATGTTGTCTGTAAATGATACCACAAATTACATTCTTTTTCTTTGCAAGAGAAATTTCTATCCATAAAGCTTGAAATGCTGTGTTGGACGTTTTTTCAAGAACTTTATAGTCATCTTTTTCATCAATGAACATAGCAACACCTGCCGAGGCCAAAGGTGTTGAAACAAATTCAAAATTATACCCTGAAACTAATGGTGTAGAAATATCTACATTTCAATTGGTAATTTTGGTTTCAGAAATCCCAAATACGTCGAAATGAAATTCAAGTTCTTCTAGGATATGTGTTTGAAGGTTTTCTAGATTTCGTTTTAGGCTGACAACATTATTATGAAAAATCGAAAAACTTGACAAAAGCGCATTTTGAGGGATTTTTGAGATCGTCCGCACAAAACTGTGAGGAGAGAAGTATCGGCTATGGATTTGAAGATCTGTCAAATTCACAAGAGGATTAATGTTTACATCCAAATTTGAGTCAAGGTTAAACAAGCTTAGATCATACAAACTAGTTAGCTTATTAAGATTATTACGAGTTGGTTTAGAAGTCTGTACACTATTATTAAACTGGCCGTGTAGCATAACAAGACTACCAGTAAAGTTGAAATAAGGCAATTCCTTCAGGAGACTTTTAGCAAATGAAGTTTCGCGTTTGTTACCGGTCATTTGATGACTATATCAATTTTGATAGAAACGCTGAGTAATGATAATAAAAAAAATGAACATTAAATACTGTAACTTTACCTAGATGCTACATCGTCTCTTGATTGCCGCAACGCTTCGATGTCTTGAAATGATGTGAGTTTAATAGCTCTTGAGTCGTCAGACTTCATCAAATAAATCGCCGTGTCTTTAGCCCAACAATACTTGTAATTTTCTTGCTCTTTTACCGATTTGGCCAGGTAAAATAATTCTTACAGTCTTGGTGTGAGATGACTGAATATTGAAATCTTCAATTCGTTTTCTGAGTTAAGGCCAAAGGTCGCTGGTGATAGAAGATTGCAGTTTCTCCTCTTGAAAAGCACTGCATCTTGAACCATACGGCGGGTAAATTTACATATGATGGGAAGGATGCATCTTCGGCAGCCATCTTGGGTTCTTGTAAACTCTTCGACTTAATCCAGCAAAGCTCCTCAGTCACGAATACAGGTTGAGCAAGCTGCTTTGATGGAGATGGAGAAACTCGTCAAGGTTACCTATACTCTCGAAGAAGTATTTATTGCCTTTCAGCAGCTCGAGGAATTGAGGCAATTTATCTACTATTTTCAGAGATTTGCTAGTCTGACGCACTTGATTCAACAGTTATTCCTAGTTTGTATGATGCGAGAGCATATCTGATGCCTGCTTTCCAATACTACTGATGCTCTCGTCCGAGTGTTTCAAGAGCAACGCAGTTGTTCAATCCATGAGTTGTTAAGACATAGTCGAGGTGAGTTACTGCAGATGTTTGATAGGATCGGAGCTGTGCCGTTCCTCGATGATGATAACACGATCAAGTCCTAGAAAGATGAGCTTTCAGCATATCTGGTGATGGTAGGAACGTCTTAGATGATTTTGATGCTCTTACAGAAACCTGGAAATAGTGGAGAAATAACGGTGTTGAACCCTCCAGAATAAACTCCTGGGCCTCTGCTGTCAAGAAAATCGCTCTTGCACAGCTATCATCTGCTGCCGCTACGAGGGTGTTTTCGATGCTGGTAACAACGTTTACTGACCAACAGCATGACGCACTAGAAGATTATATCGTGGCAGCTCTGATGCTTCGATTTAACAATCGTTGAGAATCATCGCGTTGTTTCGGTGTTTGTGTCTTCGTTGCTGGTAACAATGTTTACCGACCAACAGCATAACGCACTAGAAGATTATATCTTGGCAGCTCTGATGCTTCGAGCTAACAATCATTGACAATCGTTACGTTGTTACGGTGTTAGCTTTACCTTATCAGGCACTTCAAACGTAGGTACAAATTTTTTGACATCTAGGAATCCAGGACCCTGTGACTACATTCTATACGACTACTCAAATGCATTACCTGTTTTTGTCCTGTTATTGTCAAGAACTATGAAATAAGTACTACACGTTCGTGAGCTTTTGAATTAAAGACGAGTCAGCAGTTTTGTACTTCTCGCATTTGGTGGAACATTGAGTGCCTTTTGTTTAATAAAAGCGCAATCTAGCGTACTGTGTATACGGTTTTTTTCTTAATGGGAGAGCTGGGGTTTCATTGAAAAAAATATGAGATAAATAGAGATTTTTAGAAACTTTAGGAATATTTAGGGATTTTTCAAATGTTTTGGGATATTTAGGCTTTTGGTGGGATTTTTAGCGAGGAAATCTGGAAATTCTGGATAGATTTTTCTGAGAAATTTTAGAGATGCTTGTGTCTCGGCCTATCGGGGAGGTAGAACTAAGGAGTAAGCCCTTGGCAGTTTCCAAATGTCTATCACGTGTTTTACTTTCTTTATGCGTTAGTTTTGATTACTTCAAATGTTCTTTTAATTCTGAGCTAGTAATCACGAGACGCCTGCATTTCAATTATCCTTCAGTTTCTTCCTTAAGAGCCTTCCCACCCCCCCCCCCGCTGCGATCTTATTCAGTGTTCCGTGCTCATTGACACGAGCAAGTATAGTTTTCTTACACATCTCAGTGAAGGCGCCAAAAATCTTCATAGGTGAGACCCAGAAAGTGGTTAAACTAGCAACTGCGCATTACGTTGGTGAGGGTAAGGACACGGCATATTTCTCCAGACCAAAATTGAGAACTACAGGATTGGTCGCCAAAATACTTCGAAAGGGCGCCTGTTTTTCCAAAATTCATTTGAAGATCGCCTTAACCTTCTTTCCCTTTTACCTTAAACTTGGCAATGACTACGAATAATTATTGATCAAAACTCATATGGGTATTTGTTTCCTTCTGCTGCAGTGAAAGATGGAGTACCTGAATTGAATATTTTGGAGAAACTGGCAAAAAAAATTCCAAGGAAATGGAAGGATCTTGGGCGTCGGCTGTTTGATTGGGACGAATCAAAGCTCGAGGCATTCGACACAGACGAAAAGAAATGTCATGAAAAGGCATACGCCATGTTGCGGACATGGAGAGAAGGCAAAGGTTCAGGTGCAACTTATCGCGTTTTAAATGACGCGCTGTGCGATACTGAGCTTAAAGAGTTGGCTGAAACATTTTGTCGAGTTGTCAACTGAAAGTTCCTGTATCAACTGATTGAATAACTGTCATTTCTTCCGAAAACTGGCTCACCTTTGCACCTTTTTACTACGGTGAGAGGTAATTCCGGACAAGTAGGGAATCTTTATCCAACGACAGAACAGATTGGCTGAGACTGAGTTGAAATGAACGCAAACTCAAATTTAAAGACCTTAGAATTTTTTGTCGTTTGAAGACTGTATGTATTCGACTTGTAAAACCTTAGCTTTCATTGATGCATTTCACGAACACATGAACTCGCAAGGCCAAAACCACAATTAAATTTTAGGCTGTGGCCGTCAATCAGTTTCAGTTACATTGCTATGAAGTGAAACTTTTGTTATTTTGTTGACTCGTTCAAATTTCGCATTATTTTGGAGGTGGTTTTGTCATTGGTTCGCGAACTTGCGAACGTTGCAAAGGCGTAGGTAGTGAGCAGTCAGGCTGTCAGAGCGAAGTTGCCTTACCCGATCGAGTTATACACAACCAACGGTAAGCCAGTAAGTTACGGTCTTTTAAAAAAAACCGTACAAAACTTTTGTTAAAGCTCAATAAAATCGTTTACAGGATACCCGTGATTAAATAAGCTTTGTGTTTGGAAAGTCCCAAGTTTTCCTTCACCCTTTTTTTGTTTTTCGTACAGGTTTCTATTAACGTTTTGAATATTTTTCAGATACTTTGCATGACAGCAGTTGCCTGTTTTATACGACGAATGATGAATTCAAAATACATGTAAACCTTACGGGAGGAGAGAAGTTTATCGTTATATTTTACATCATATTTCGTGGCTATTCAAACAAAATCTAACACTTCTCTCACGAATCAACATTGTCTAAATCCATTTCTGAAAAATCGGTGGCAAAAAATCGATTATCTCTCTCCTTAATCTTTTTTTTGGATGTCGAAATATATATACGCCTATAGCCCGAACACGGGTGCGTCCACACGGTTTAACCGTGGGGCTGCACCTACGATGACGACACTGCTTGGCGCGTCCCTTGGCGAAGTACTCTGTTGATCGACGACTCAGCAAAGGGTGGGTGTTATGGATGCCGAAACAAATTTCGCTAAATATGTCGAATACTTTTTTTTGGTTGTTGGTGCAATGTTCTCCACCTGGCGATCCCAGAAACCTTTGCACAAACAAAAGGATCCGATTATCAAGACTCTAGATACGAGGATGTCGTTTGACCCGTATACTAGGGATTCGGATTTGAATTCTACCAGTTGGACCGTCAGTCTTCTCTGTTCTATTCGAGGAAACAAGGACCGTACCAAGATGACGGTGGACAAAGTTGTGATCAGATAGAACAGCAACGCACGACGCCCGATCTTACCGGTAGCTTTTGCATCAAGGTGTGACACGGCAGTGTCACATCTTATCAACGTTATCAACGTTCGTTGTCAACGAACGCTTTTCATTCTGCTAATTCATTCGTGTTTTTCTCGTCACCGTGTTCCTACCAATAGCGTAGCTCCACTTTCTGCATATAAACCCACACACGACCCACAATTCCTCCATTCACTCTGACAAAGGGCTAACGCTCGAAAAGTCAGCTTTTTAACTCTTTACGGTGGCCAATTTACAATTTCAACTTAGTTGATATAACCAAATAACAGAGACAATAGACCAAAATACACCGGTGCGAGTTTATTTGAGATAAATTGGAAGGTTTTCTTTCTCTCTCTCTCTCCTAAGTTAAGGTGAAGTAAAGCGATATTTTCGTTCTTTTGAAAGTTATGGTCTTTTTATTTTACAAAAACGAAAACATCACTTACACAACTTGTCCTACCTCAACAAACCCACTCAACAAAAATAATTCCTGCACGGTTAGCATGCCTATGTTTTTCTTTCCTTTTTTCAGCTCGTCCCGTTGGTTCCCATGTCTCATTAAACCATCTCGGTTTTCTGCTATTTTTCTGTTTGGAGCTATTTCCTTTCAAAATTGTTTCGGTTTTGACGAAAATTATGGTCGACTTTCCAGTTTTCGCTAAGCTCATTTGCCCATGTTAGTTAATCGTTCCCATGGCTCAATCATCTTTATCATTCGTTGGATATGACTAGCACACAAAAAGTCATTTCAGTCCACACAGAGGTCACCTAGTACTGTAAAAACATGACTTCATTGATTTAATTCCCAATGAAGAAAGAAAGCAGTCGAGTTGCAGACGTTGCATTATCATTGATTCTAACTTTTGCACAGCTTCTTTTCTCTCAACTTTTAGCTACGAGTTTTTTCCGTTCGCGAGGAAAGCGAACTCCTATCACATTGTCACTAACAGAGGTCTTAAAATAAGTGAGGAGAATTTGCTACCTCTCTGTAATCAAGAAATGGATAGATATTCTAGTCTTCTCGGATAAGGACGAATAAACCGTAGTCCCCGTCTCCTGCGGGGTTAGGGGTAGGAGACGTTAATTTCCCACGCACGAGATTACTGTGTGGTGGATGTCCTCCCCTGGGTGGAATGGGTGGGTGTTGGCCCTGAAAAGCCCCTATGGGGAGTAATCAATTAACCTATGTAGGTATGTATGTATTTATTACACGACTCGAGCAGTCAGAAGGCCAATAACTAAAATCGACCAATCAAAATGCTCTATTGCCGGTCAATATTCTCCCAGTATTGGATCGGGCACTGTCCCAAATGGTCCCGAATGATACCGCACTTGTGTCTAGCTCTTTGAATTTCAGTCGTATGATAAATCTCTTATTAACCAAGCTTGCTCGGGACCGTACTAGAAGAATATCGGCCCTCGGTCTTTTTGTACGGACCTCGCTGCGCTCGGTCCGTGCTGTCAAGACCTCGGGCCGATATTCTCCCAGTACGGCCCTCGCGCTTGGTTAATAAGATATATGAGATGAGAGTTTTGGCGCACGCGAGGAAAACCCTGTCTCAATAAAGCTGTGGAATATCGTAAATACTACATTTATCGGTTGTAGTTCAGTTAATTGTGTAAATCTCCAAAACCTCGTGTTTTTTCTTAACTAATTAGATTCCAAACTGTCCAATCGTGACTTGGTCCTTCGCGATCCCCCCCTTCCCCCGTCTTCTAACGGCTCTTAGTTCTCGCTAATTAACTTGTTCGGAGTTTTTCTCATTTTTGATCATGTCAAGACATACATACGTTAGTTGACCACTCCCCATGGGGGCTTTTCAAGGCAAATTCCCACCCATCCCACCCCAGGGGAGGACATCCACAACACAGTAATCTCGTGCGTGGAAAATTAACGTCTCCTACCTCAAACCCTCAAAGACGCAACTTTGATGAAGTTTAATTTAAAAATACCAATATGTAAAACGAGCGCTTTTCAGGCCTCCCACTTTAATTGTATTGTGAAACTTTGGAATCACACCACTGGCTCTATCGCTCCTTTTTTCTAGTTTTCCGAGTCCGCTCTCCTTCCAGCTTTTCGTTAAACAAACACTTTTTGACTGCCTAAAAACGACCTTTTACATTGGGGTAGGTTGAAGGAGAAGGAAGAACGTTGCCTTTTTCGCTTGCCCTCGCCCCATACCCTCGCGCGGTTTCCGCTCACTCACTCTTCCAGCCTTCTCCCGCTGGGATAAAATAAAACGGAAAGGGATACAACGCAAGCTACAGCTTTTCAAGTTCGATTACCAGAGGCATGTAAGAAAATGAGCCCTCGTTCTTCAGTCGCCAACGATCCTCGCACACTAACAAGGCCCACAATGCAAATCGCGCAAAAGAAGGTACCAACCCATAATTTTCAACATATCACCCATCAGCATCTAGGTAACCATAAACATGTGCATAAAATCGCCAACTGATAAAAATGGAGCCCACTTGATGGCACATTTTAACTTTTTTCAACGGTCTTTACCTATTTCTACAGGGACCAGATCAGAGATCATAAGGTACCGCATTCTTATAGTGCGATGGTTCGGTCTAATTAAGACATGTCGCTGTTTGAAAATCGCTTTACATTCTAATTCACTACCCCGCTCAAACGAATATAAAACATTTATCATTCAATAAGTAACCATAATAGGGGTGTGTCAACACGAGCCGTATGCGACCCTCTTTAGTATGCCTTCGTCAACAAAATTTATAGGAATGGTACATCAACGTAATGAAAACTCGGAAATGTAAAAAATAAAGCAAGAAAATCCACCCTACAAAACAATCTAAACTATAATCGCATATGCAAAAAACTACCAAGAGAAACCGACAATCCCTTGTCACTGGGTATTTAATTTTGAGGGCGTAGTTAGGGACGGTCGTAAGACACGAATGAATATAACTGACAACAGCTCGAATATATAGCCTACCGCTAATGAAGTGATTGTAACAACATACCCTGCAACACCCCAAAGAAAGGGTTACGTAACCCATGATTATTACATTGGTCCACGACCTCAGCAGTTCCACTTCTTATTCTTTAAGTCCTGTCCAAAGAACTTTTAAAAAACCACAACAAGGTGACGTAGTATCCCATAAGTCTTTCCGCGTTCAGTGAAGTTCTCCGTTACTTTACTTAAGATGATATGTGGGAAAGAATCTGCCGTTGACGAATTGGCTCAATGAACCAGGAAAATGAGTGATTATCGTGCGCTGCTGTTGACTATTTCGAATCATTTGACGTCTTCAGATGTAGATGGGCTTAAATATCTCTGCCGAGAAGTTATTCCAGCCGGACGCGCAGAGAAAATTACTCGTGCATTCGAGTTCTTCTCCGAGCTCGAACGCCTGAACTTGCTTTCGGAAGAGAATCGAGATTTCTTGGCTTCAAAACTGATTGCTATCAATAGGAATGATCTGAGGAATAAGCTGTTAGGGATTCAAGGTAAGAAAACTTACGTTCTTAGCTGGGTTGATTGTACAACGTTCTTCAATCATTTGTTATTTTGAGGTAAAGTCGTAACTCGTTCACCCGTTGCATTCAGTCCAAAGACGTGACTAAGACAATTTTACAGACGGTGGTAAATAGGTGAATTTAACTTTGAATACGGTGCTTTGCTTCGAAATTAGTAGGATTCATTGGTTTCAATCTTCTCTCTTTCTGTGCGTATGAGTTTAAAAGCACCATTGGAAAGTATAACATCAGTTTGATTGGAAAATCCACTTCCGCTCTTGGAACCACCGACTGTACCCTCTACTTATTTTCACAACGACTGATCTCCAGTTCTCGGCTCATACAGCATCTGGGCTGCTTAACACACAATTCTAACGTGTTAGATATACCAGAGGCTTCATAATTCTTTTCTTAAGGCTGACGAAAGGCCAAAGTTGTGAAATGATTTGGAAGTATGCTACGAATGATTTCATTATGTTATTTCACATGTAAGCCAAATGCACATTTCTTCTCCCCTCGCAGAAGAGCTAGTCACTGTCTTAATTTAGCAGTACTTCATGTAACACATGGAGTGCAAAAGTTAAGGTCAATTGGAATATTAGAACAACTTCAGCCGCAGCACCTTTTCCATAACTAAAGCTTGGTTTTCATAAGCGATCGAAGCACAATTTAATAATAAGTTCTTATATAGCGCATTAAAATTGAACTCTATGCGCTTAAGTGTAAGCACAGACACAAGCACAAGGTTTATTTGCCAAATGAAAATGAACATCGACAAGCACAAGCACAAAAAAAGGAAACATTTTGATCCCTGTATTTGTGCTTTCACTTGTGGTTATACTTGCATGGAGGCCGTTTTGATGGTGAAGTATGAGCAGTTGTGCTTGTGTGGCTTGTGAAAACCAGGCTTAAGTGGCTGCCATTAGTGTAATGGGACATTCCTGGTAAGGGAGCTCTATGGAACCTTTTTTCTAAGGGGTAACAAGGGACATACTCCCCCCCCCCCTAAAAAGAAATTGAAATCTAGGAGCTCAGAAATGTAATTTTTAGCAGAATGGTGAAAAGGTCTTTTAGGAAACAGCCTGTCAAAAATTTGCCTCAGCTTATACTGCTGCTGAATAGACATGAAATTCTGTGATCAGTGACTGATGTGTCGGTCAAATTTATACTAAAGATCTTCAACATATTGCCCCCACTCACGGCACCCTTGGATGAACGTACATGGTAGAAATGGTTTTATTAAAAAGGGCTATTCCACATGAGACATGAAAATTTGACAGATTTTCAAATTCAAAATATGAGAGCCAAACTTACTTTTAATGAAAGCTTATACATAGTTCTTTAAGAATCCAAATCTAGATTGGCAGTAGTGGCCACACCCAGGGTGTGTGACACTTCTGTTTTTGAGGGTTTTTGTTAACCGAATAAGCCATTTTACATACAAATATCTAATTTGCTATATCTCAAAGAAATTGATTGCTATGAATCAGATTTTGAGATCTTAACTACTCACTAGGATGGGCCTTTCAATGCCAAAAGAAAAAAATTCTCAAACATTTAATGCCTCAGACATACAAAGACATAAAAAGTGTTGCGGACGTGACCTTCAGGGTATGATTCAGAGCAACATTTATTTAATTTCGATGTAGGTTCTCAACTGTTTCAGGTCTTATTTATGCTACTCTTACAGTTAAGTATTATGATAATTTTGACACCCTAGCTTGCTCAAATTTGTCAACTATTTAAGAGATATTGGGTTGCAGACGGGACCGTTGCGGACATGACACGTTTGTAAAAACCCAGAAAACCTCATAAAATTTTCAAACATGAGAACATATGTAGATATTTTAATGACAGCAAATGATAATTATAGACATATTGTGATATATGTAAGGTTATCACTTTTTTTACAATTTTCCAAAATATAAATGCCCTTTGATGTACAAAATGACATAGATCATCAAAGTTTTTATATATTATTTGTTATTTATTTCCCAATTTACAGATAAAAGCAATAAAAACAGCATTTTTACTTCAGTGGCATTACCCTGAATATTATTAGTGATGAATGAAAAGCTCTTTCCTGAACATCCCCAAAATGTCACGTCGGCAACAAATTTTGGTCACATTCGCAACACAACATTTTTATTTCTTATATATATTATTTGTTATTTATTCCCAATTTACAGATAAAAGCAATAAAAACAGCATTTTTACTTCAGTGGCATTACTCTGAAAGTTATTAGTGGTGAATGAAAAGCTCTTTCCTGAACATCCCCAAAATGTCACGTCCGCAACAAATTTTGGTCACGTCCGCAACANAATTACTATTGCATTTAGTTGGTGTCTGCAGTTTTTTTTTAAGGTTTTCAATTCACAGGAAATTTGAACTAACCAAAAGCAATTCAAATCAATGGTTGTTTTAGGAGTCACATCTGCAACACACTTTGAAAAATTATTTTCTCTGGATCTCTAAGAGATAGTCAAAATGTTTTCTGGCAAAATAAAAGGTACTTCAGGGGTAGTTTTATGACATGACTCGTTTCAATTCAAATAGTTTGGATCTGGTTTTAGGAGACATTTAATGCTTGAATTTTGCCTCTAAATGTCACGTCTGCAACGTGGAATTGACCAAAACTGGATCATTGGATAATGCAATTCAGGACTTTTTATTGGCTTAGCCATTATCGTATATGAGCCAATATACCATAATGTAATATCTGTACATTGTAACATCCGGTTTCTTCTTACAAAATAAAGTGGAGAAGATTTGTCTAATATCTTGGGGGCGTTTTTTTTTAAAACAATTATTCCACTCACGCTTGTTGGATATGAGATGATTATAGCCAACTCGGCGCGAGGCGCCTCGTTGGCTATCTATCATCTCATATCCAATGCTCGCTTGTGGAATAATTGTTAAATATATCAGCAGATGAGACAAGTAGTGGAGGGGTGGGTGAGGTTAAATTACAGTAGTGGAGGGGTGGGTAAGGTTGAATTAAAGTAGTAGAAGGGTGGGTAAGGTTAAATTACAGTAGTAGAAGGGTGGGTAAGGTTAAATTACAGAAGTAGAAGGGTGGGTAAGGTTAAATTACAGTAGTAGAAGGGTGGGTAAGGTTAAATTACAGTAGTAGAAGGGTGGGTAAGGTTAAATTACAGTAGTAGAAGGGTGGGTAAGGTTAAATTACAGTAGTAGAAGGGTGGGTAAGGTTAAATTACAGTAGTAGAAGGGTGGGTGTGGTTAAATTACAGTAGTAGAAGGGTGGGTAAGGTTAAATTACAGTAGTAGAAGGGTGGGTAAGGTTAAATTACAGTAGTAGAAGGGTGGGTAAGGTTAAATTACAGTTCTAGTAGAAGGGTGGGTAAGGCTGAATTCCATTGGTGCATGACCTATAACTAAAAAGTAACAAAAAAAGTTCTTGCGTCTTAATTTCAGATCAATCATTGTTATCCTTGTGTATTTTCAGAAAACCATAGTGTTTCACAGAGGAGTCATGGACCAGTAGCGTGTAAGTAAATGTAAACCTCTATTAATCTTAATCCTTTTGCCCCAAAGATTTCATTTGTGATTCTCTTTACTGTATGGCATACAGTTCTTATGATGTTTCTTTGGAGAATTTGGTACTGGATCAGCTAATAATCCCCTGATTTATCTTTTTTTTTTATTCTCATTTAATACTGGTATTTTTTTTTTCGAAAAGGAAATGAGCTACAAAACACTAAAAAAGTGCTACAAATCCAAGTCATGAACATTGTATCTGATATGTGTCTATGTGAAAACATAAAAACCTGTTATCTCAGTCTTGTGCAGATTCCAATGAATTATGCCAGACTGTGCACTTTTGATCAAATTTTGCTGTCCCATACAAAGCTCTTGGACATGCATTGAAAACCTCCATTTCTGTAAGTTTTTGTTACAGTCAAACTCCAAATATTTGAACCTCAAATTTCCGCATTTTCTTTTACCTGGACTCACCTCTCTGGTCCCATCTCTTGTTAACATTAATTGCCGTAAAAACCCAGAGATAAGCCACACCCGCAGATAAGCGGCACCATGAATTTAGCAGCTCAAATTTTGGAAAAAAAGTTTTTTTGAAAGAAATCAAAAGAAATCCAAAATCGAGTCTTGAGAGGTCTTCTTCATCCACTCTTCACTGAACATAAACTCACTATTAACATTGCAGCGGAAAATACTTCAAATTCTTACCCACAATTTTAGCACTTTAATATAATGAACATGGTTTCTACCAACTCTGACATATGATTGATCTTTTTCTGTTAATTGCTGAGAGGAATTTCTTCAATCAACAAAGTTTTTCCATAGGTTTTACAAATTACAAAAAGAACATGAGCGGAACATTTTAAGCTCAGTAACCAGGCATTAAAGAAAATTGGCCTCGATGTTCACAACACCTTTTTTGAATGTTCCTACAGATAAGCCGTCGATGTTCACGACACCTTTCTCGAATGTACCCGCAGATAAGCCACACCCCCAATCTCCACCGATGATTTTTGGAAAAAAAGTGCGGCTTATCCATGGGTTTTTATGGTAGTCACATTCGAAATTTGTGACAACTTTTTCCTATTTGTATTTTTGATTATGCAGACTCTTGGTAATATCCAGACTTTTCAGCCCAGTCCCCACAAGTCCAGATAATCAAGGTTCAATTGTATTTCTTCTTCTTTTTTTTGTTTTGGCAACACAACAGCACAGCCAAGTGTACCAAATAGCTGGGATAACAAGCCTATTCCTGAAGAATTAGTTTATGATCTTGTTGAAGATCTGAGCGTAAGCTGGAAAATGTTGGGAAGGCGTCTCGGCCTAGCAGAAGGTGTCATAAGCAACATTGACTCAGAACATCAGAAAGTTGTAGAAAAAGGTGTGGCAATGTTTGAAGTGTGGAAAAGCAGAAAAACTGGTGATGCAACAATGAAAGCATTACGGAAAGGCCTTGAGCTTATAGGAAGACGAGATTTGTCGGAGAGAGTCAGAGGTATCTCGAAGTTCTTGAAAGAAATGCCACTGGTGGAACAAAGAATCAATGAATTATCAAAAATGATCCTTTTAATTAAAATCTAATGGAATACAATGAAGCAATCTTGTATAAGAAAATATGGAAACAGATATCAGCTATTTGGATTTGGAATTTTCTGTGCGCTGCCATGTTGGAACATCTGTCGCTTTGAACTTGCCACTGTTATGTCCATGATCCGTTATAGACTCCTACAATCAAAAGGCTTGTTGTTTGGTGAAAAAAGTGGCAACCACTTAACATCATAGGATCCAAAATGTTTTTTTTCACATTTTTTGTCAACAAAAAATCTCTGTAATCAGAAACTTTTTTCTTTTGTTCAACCAGTGGAGGCTTCCTTTATGTTAAATATGTAGTGTTATTACATGACCTGTAAAAAACATAGACAAAAAAATTCCTAAGTGAGGGCTGCCTATGTTGATATGACTAAGAGGATGTACAAAGCTGTACAGCTCTGTGAGCTGTGAGCTTAAAGGAGAAAGGAAGAAAAGATAAGCCAATGGTCTTGAATTCTTCTTGACTGAGTCAGGGAGGACTAAGGGCAAAATAAATGGCCCTCAGTTGTGATGTTGGACCTCACTCACTGTACATCACAACCTTAAGACAAATATATTCTCACTTGGCCTTTCCAGTCAGTTAATAATACGTATCTCACACCTGGTTGATTGGAAATGAATTGAAAAGTAGTTTATAAAGTGAAATCATAGGAGGGTTACTCATGATCAAATAAAGAGCAATTTGATTATGAGATAAGTCAGAGACTTGTTGACCAAAATGCAAGTAACAGAAAAGTTCTAATCAAGAAGTAATTGATTTAGCCTCTAAACATTTCCTTACGAATTATTTGAGAGAATTTTGTGTTTCATCAATATAGTGTCCTAC